TCTTAAGTAGCATGCATTTTCCCATTGATTTTCGATGGTCTTGGAAATTCAAATATATTTTTTAGAAACCATAAACAAAATATGCTTTTTAGTCAATCAATAGAGAATCACGTCTTCTTTATACTTTATAGTAAGGAAGGAGTATAATTAGGTTTTGAACAAGTTTCTAATTATGAGACTTTTTAAGACCGCGAAATGTCCATTCAAATAGCATCGTACCTGGCTGTTTACCACTGCTTTTCATGAAATGCACGACATGGTCCGCATCCATTGCAAAATGTTATGGACTCTGTATGATCCCTCTTTAATGGCTTAGAATAATATGTGATTTTCTTTACGCTGAACGCATGCACCTTGTAGAGTGAAATCACTAAGCGCTAATGCAACGAATGATCAGGCTCCAAATTATTCGGCAATTAGAAAACCTTTTTTAAACCTAATCATACTCCTTCCTTAAGTATAAAATATAAAGAAGACGTGAGTTTCTGTTGATTGACTAAAAAAGCATATTTTGTTTATGGTGTCTTTAAAATATATTTGTACTTCCAAGATCATCGAAAATCAATGGGAAAATGCATGCTACTTAAGAAGTCATTTTTTACCGAGCACCCTTTCTGCAGGAAATTGAAAAGAAGTGCATTTAAAAGCCGACATCTTGTCAAATGCGAAATGTTATAAGAGTATGCCGCAAAATAATCAGTATTACAACAGCGACCAAGTAATCCTTCCTAATCGAAAACGCATTTCATAATTTCAGCCAACATTTCATGAGATCGGTCACTCACTTTACCCATATATACACATTATTTGGTTATTACTTGTGCTGTTAAGTATGGCATATTGAACTGCCTATGTATATACTACTGGCTACATGTTGGTAGTTTATGAATATTTCGCGGTTATCCCTTTGCGACTGATAGACTACGACCCAAATATTCACATCAATCCTCAATATGAGTCTATGTGTCCGAAATAGAGGGAATTACTCCAAGTTCGTAAAAGGTTTCAGAGGAAACGGAAAAGTTGCAATTTCAAAACTAGAATATCTACCAGAAAGCGAAGAGGAATCGTCAGGAGCTTACAAATGAGCCGAACAACTTGGCGCTTTGTAATTCAGCGGCAAAGTATCAGCCATTTAGCTAGTTCAATTGCTGTCACGTAAGGTGAAACCTGAGTACATATATATATATGCACTTGGGGGGAATAGTCGAAAAGACCTAAGTAAGAAGAGCGATCGTTCCCGAGTTCGCTTGCAAGAGCAGGATGATCGCTAGCAACTGCTTCGCCTTACAAACCAAAGAAGAAATGTTCCTCAAGCCCACCTATTAAAACGAAATGTTATCATATGACAAAGGTCTATTTGGTTATTGAACATACCTAGAATGAACAATCTTACGCAATACGCATAAACTGAGGGGATACTAGACAGTAATCATGCAAAAACGGAATAAAATATGGATATATAAATTAGACGAAGGACGTTATTTATGCAGTAACTGAAATAAAAGTAAGATCGGTAAGTACATTTTAATAATATACATTTTAATAAACCACACGTTGAACGACTAATCGCCAGTAAAAAAGTGAAAAAAAAATTAGGAAATGCAGCTGAACGCATACAGTTGTTTTTATAGAGGGACAATTTATTCCCATAATCGCAGTAGAAAGTCAGGTTTTTTGAAGTTTAAAGCCTAACTAAAGCGATGTTGAGAAACTTGTGGTTTTGGGTCTTCTCAGGTAGTTGCCCATTAAAAAAAGCTTATGTAATTTACAGACATTTATTTCACACCTGTGAGCTGTAACATTATTAGAAATAGAGATAAGGATACATTCTGTGCAAAAGCAAGTTTTTGATTTTAGTATTGGTTTCAATCACAAATGTGAGGTCCCTCAGACTGTTTATGTTGATCGCGTTTCCCAGGTGTCTTCAGCCTAATAACATACAAAAGCGAGGGCCAGTCTAACAGTTCTTTCCCATCCACCAATAATTCAAATGTTAACTGGTCCTGATTTTTTAATCTTAAGTGTGCAGGCCAACGAAGCAAACAATTTCGCCGTCAGAAAGAGCGAAGTCAGCTCATCGGTTTATACTGTTCCTTACTCAGGGACTAAAGAGCAATACAGAGTACAGTATGCTCCGCATCTTGCGAATTCTAGCCGAAAGTCTGAAATGTACTTTTGATTAAAAACGATTACTGAATGGGGACGTAATATTGATCATTAACCAAACTTACCCCCAGATATCTCAGCCATAACAAGGCATTTGCATTCGAAGGTTCATTTTTCCTGCTGGGTGTAAATAACATGGCAAAAAAATACATGCTCTAACGCGATAAAATGTTCAGGATTGATTTTTGAGCGTTTTTATAACTTCAAAATGTTTTCAGGGAAATCGGACACAAAAATACATTTTATTGTTTCCAAGTGGTAAGAAAGTGCACTGTACACTTGGAGAAAGTTTATCCTTTTCCGTCGCAATTATGAGGTTTTGGGAACATTAAACGCATATTCGAGCAGCTCTAATCTATCCGTTGTCAAACTTACCCTTTTGACAAACGGCATGGTGAAGATTCACCGCGAAATTAAATGAACTCCCTATGACGTCTACATAATGACGCAGACTCATGTGAGATTTATCCTGCGCGCAAAGTATACAGCTTGGAGCTTGAAAACCCTAATCCAAATCCCAATTGTTTGTCGAGTGAAGGACTATTCATGAATTGCAATAGGTTTTAAGAATTGATGATCCTATTCCCTTTAGGCGCTTCAGCTGGCAGAATTTAAATTCATACGTGTCATCCTCAATACCTTAAATAAAGTTGACTCTCTGTCAGCGCATGTTCTCTTTGATTCGCTTGCGTTCATCAAATTTTCAGTATCCGCAGAAAAAACTGGGGTAATATTTACCATTTGCTTCCGTTCATTTTCCTCATTGTTATATCTACGTTTTTTGATCAGAAGATTATTAGCTATAATTGCAGGTATTTGCAAGTGTTTGTAAGTTTACATTGCCCGGACGAAAGAACAAACTATTAGCTTTCGCCTATCTTCCCAATTTATTTAGCAAATCTCTATATGTCGAGTAATTGCACTGAGAAAACATGCCTTTTCTTAAATTTCAAATTACTGTAACCTGTCGTAGCCTTTGATTAACATATGCAAGGTGTAAGCCAAAGGAAGCATAGTGAACTGTTTTTACCAATTTCTTATGTAGCAGTTTATAGTGGTTTTCGTCCAGACAGTCAGTCAAATAATTCTCGAACCGGAGACAGTAATTTTAAAAGAAAGGCAAACGTGCAAAGAACCTGCAATAATATACCGATGACTTTTACCACCTTAGAGAAACAATAAAAAGCTGAAAGTCATTGCCACACAAGGGCAGAAATTGCATTAAAATGCTCTAACCATGCTCGAACACGAAAGCCTCCGCTTCGCTGGTTGAATGGAAAACGTTTGACTATCGCCCCAGGGCCAATTCAGTTTTCTGTGGCAACGAGTGCAGCATTACGTGAACAAACGTGACCAGATTTCAGCAACACATGAATGTGCACGCCAAAGGCGCATCTTAGACGGAACTGCTTGAAATTTACTCCAATCTATGAGATTCAGTATGAATTGATACACAGGTCATTTAAGGTCATCATGGTAGCACACTAAAATGGCAATGATCACACGCTTAGAATTCTTAAGTTCTAACCTTCTCTTACTTAAACAGTTTCCTGTTTTCCCTTATAAGTTTTTGTTAAGACAAAAAAAATTGCCTAAATTTACGGTGATGGAATAAATGGTCATCACTAAAAAGCGCCCTTTATCGTATGCGTGATGTAAAGAATATATTCTCGGATGGAAGCGAATATGCGAATCCCAGGTTCTTGTTGTAAAGAAGATGAAGACCCGATCTCTGGGACAGTGGGTTTATTAGTCTGAGCTTTCGGTCTCGTACAGGAGGCCATCGTCAGAGACTGTGAGAAGGCAACATCAAATGAGTGTTTTTTGTA